AGGCCAGATTTGAACTCAGGTCCTCCTGACTCCAGGGCTGGTGCTCTATCCACTTTGCCATCTAGCTACCCCAGCAGCCAGTATATTTAGCTTACCTTTTACTGTTTCTCTCTGTGACCTAGTCTGACTATCAGATTTGGAGTCTAGGCTAGTTAGCTGTTCTTGAAAAAGACATAGTGTCCAACTCTCGTACTCTTCAGTTATTCGTGTTCCCCTTTCTCTGGTTCTCTTATGCCTAAATAAAAAATAATGCAGTGAGTCGGGAATATATCCAAAGGAGGTCCATGACAACAAGAAAAGGACCCATATACACCAAAATATTTGCAGCCCTTTTTGTCACAGCAGAGAACTGGGAGCAGAGCAGATACCCATCCGTTGGGGAACTGCAGCACAAATCGTGATACGTGAATGTAATGGTATTATAGTACTGTAGAAACAACTATGAATGCAGAGAAGATTGGGAAGACGTACATGAACTGATGCAAAGTGAAACAAGCAGAACCCAGAAAACAGTATATACGATGACTAGAACAATGTAAATAGAAAGAACAAAGTGCCTTGAAATTATAATGACCAAGCTTAATCCCAAAGAAAAGATAGGCCAAGGCATCTCCCACTTTTGCAGAAGTGGGGGACTGTGAGTGGAACACCGCAAATATTGTCAGATTTTTTATGTTGATTAGTTTTATTGGACTTTTTTTTTGCCTCATTTGCATTATTTGTCGTGAGAGAGTGCTCCCTAAAGCATATACATGTGGGAAAATATAGGTGACATAAAAAGAAAGATATCATTAAAAACTCATTTTAAAAAATAATTCAGTGGATAATAGTCTAGATCTCTTAAATTTCCCCAAAACACTGTTGAAATTAAAGCTGAAATTCAGATGTTAACACAAACTGTAGTTTACCCAACCTCTAATCCTTCTATCTAAGAAATCAAGGGGGAAACAAAGTCTGGCTATCCTTGGAGTCATATTCCAGTGAATTTCGAGGAACCACACTCTCCAGTGGGATTCTTGGCTGTTAAGGTTTCATAGACAATCAAGCTGTGGCACCAGAGAGAGGTCTTCCTTGGCCTCCAGACGATGACCTCTTTGGCCATGGGAACTTTGGCATAATATAATATAAAAAAACCCCTCATTTTGTTTGTACTTTGTCTCATGCTAGTTAAATCTTTGGATGCTATTTTTCATCTTGCTCCTTATAATCATACTGTTGCTTTATATTTCCTCCTTAGAAATTTAACTTCATTTCATTTTTAGAGAAATACATTTTCTGTTTTCTTACAGGTCTTTTGTAGTTTTAAGGGCTTAGCCAGCTTATTAAAGGCTCCAGTAAACTGCAGTTTGTGTTGAGACCTAACTGTGGATTCAAGGGATAGAGACTGTTATGTATTGTATTATTTTTTAAATTTGGGCATGAGAGAGAGAACTAAGTACACTAGATTATCTTGTTGACTAATTACCAGGCTATTTAGTCCTCTTTGTTTCTAAGACTTTCTTTCCTTCCGTTTCTTTCTCAGGGCCATGAGGCTGCTAAGGCATACTTTCTTAAAGCTCATTTTTTTGTTTTCTGGCAGAGCTGCCTTTTCGTTTCTTTTCCTTAAGATATTGAATATCGTCTTGTGATCATTTCCTGAAAGGATCTCTCTAGCTTTTAGAGAAGTCATGCCAATGAGCACATTTGTACTTATTGCATGTGGGTGTTGTTTTCATTATGCTGGGTGGAGTCCCCTCTCAGTCCCCTCTCACCTGTAGGTCATCACAGTGGCTAACCTGAGCTAGAGTTAGAGCTGGCCAGAGAGTTGTACATCTCTAGGGATAGACGTGTAGCTCTAGGTATATCACAAACTCTGGAAATATTTCCCTGAAGTAAATGCTCAGGGATTTCTGACCATATAATATCGACTGATTGCCAAATGACCCAGAAATAAGGGTGGAACAGAGTGTGAAATCTTCACAGAATTCTTCAGAGTTGGAAAGGATGTTAGTGGCCTGCTGTCAATCCAGACCTGGAAAAAAATCCTCTCTACAACCATCTTGGTAAGTGATGGTTCAGCCTTTGCTTGAAGATCTCCAAAAAGGCTGTAGAGCTCACAAGCTTCTGAGGTGGCCCATTCCATTTGGGATATCTCTGGGTATTCAGAAGTTTTCCCTTGAAGTGAAGTCTACATTTGTCATTTTCCAGTTTCCGCCTTTTGATCCTAGTTTTTGTCCTTTGGGGCAAAGCAGAGAAGTCTAATCCCTATTCTATATGGCAACTCTTCAGGTACAAGACAGCTTTCATTGGCCCCCTTCAATCTTCTGTTCTCTAAAACATCCTCACTTCCTTCTGCTGATCCTTAAATGAGGCGTTTCACAAACCTGGATGCCCTTCTTTGGATACTCTCTAGCTTTTCAGCATCCTCCCTAAAATGTAGTGTCCAGAACTGAAGGTAAGACTCCAGATGTGGGGTGACCAGGGCAGAGCATAGTAGGACTGTTACTGCCCTTATTCTTGGAAACTGTGACTTTCAGAAGGTGGTGATCACAGAGATTATAAAATCCTACCCTAGCATATTGTCAACTCACGTGGCTGTTGTCATCCTATAAAATCTCCAGATCTTTTTTCAGATGGACTGCACAACCTGCAGCCCGCCAGAGGATTTTCAGGGGGTCCCGAAGTTTTTCTGTACATTTTTTGCGGGCCACCAGAAATCCTTTGGCAGGCTGCAGGTTGTACAGGCCTGATTTAAATGAACTATGAAGGACTTACAAAGGAAGATGCTATCTACCCCCAGAGAAAGAACTGATGTATGGCAGTATGTATTGTGTGGTTCCACATATACGTCTGTATCATCCCTAATGTGGAGTTGGGAAGGAGGGAGGGAACTCAAAATGTAATACATAAATAAATAAAATAAAAATTCTAGGTAGCCTATGTTGACACCATTTTCCTGCTAATACTAGATTAGTAGCCTTTTCAAAAAAAGAAAGGAGGAAAGAAAGAAAGAAGGAAAAAAGGAAGTTAGTTTTCAGTCTGGCAAGACTTGTTGTTGAAGAGGCTTTGGTGGCACTTTGTGATCACTGCTCCCTTTCCAGATATAAATGTTCACTAAAAACACCTCTTTAATGATCATTCCCAAATTTGCTAGGGCTCCAAGTTAAGCTTATTGGCCTGTGGTTTTCAGATTCCATTCTCTCCTTTTTGAAAAACTGGAACATTTGCCCTTTCCCAGTCCTTCAGAGGTCGCTAGCAATGGCTCAGCAGTTGTTTCCATCAGTTCTTTCAGTACTTTTTGCTGGAACTGAACAGGTCCAGGTGACTTGAACTCCAGAAGGTCAGTGATCTGCTTCCTTATGGGCACCTTATTTATCTCTGGCATCACATCTCTACTAGCCATATATGTTTGGTCCTTCCTAGGCTAAAGATAATTCTGCTTTGCAGAAAAAAAGGAAATAACAATCCAGCCCTTCTGCCTTCTTCCTGCCATCATGGTGCCTTCTGCCCGCCATCATGGTGCCTGAGCAGCCATCTGGAGGCCTTCATTGATCCTCTTTTCCCCAATAGAACATTTTTTTTGTAAACCCCAAACCTGTTTGGTTCGTTTTAGATTTCCTTGCTAGCCACAGCTCATTTTGGACTAATCAAGATGGCTAATAACACCTTCTCTTGAGTTTGTTAAGTATGGCGAAAAATACAAAGTGCCTAGATTGGAGGCCTTGTGCTAGGTTGGGATAGATAAGAAGTTTGATTAAGACCACATGCTTACCTTCATGGAGTTTACAGTCTAATACACACACAAACACACAATTATAATACAGGATGAATGCATTTGAGACATAGGAAACAAAGTTCTTTTAAATTGAACGGGTTGTTACCACCTGGGGGTGGAGGAAAAGGGAGGTGGCATCAGAGTTGGCCTTTAAAGGAACTGAACAACTGAATGGGTAAAGTACAGGAAAGAGGTCATTCCTGGTATAGGAAACATCGTGAAACCTCAGAGTCAAGAACCCTTGGAATATGTTCCAGAAACAGAAAATAGTTCAAGTTATTTAAAGTGTATATTATACATGTAGAGAAGCAGCATGAGATAAGACAGGAAAGGTAGGTTGGTGCCAGATTGTGGCAAAGGAGATCGAAATTTAGTACGTAAGTAATAAGGAGCTTCTCGTTTTCTGAGCAAAGGAATGACTAATATTTGAATAGATCTCTGATCTCATCAAAGTGCGACTTTCCTCCATCAGCACAGATCACAATCTATGTGACTCTTGTCCACATTATTCCTGAGAGCCTCCCCAGAGGTTAGGCCCAACATTATAGATCTTTCTCTAATGGTAGTGAGTTTTTTGGCTGTGGCAAACCATGAAACGAGCCATAAGACCATGAGGTATCAGGAGGGAGTGACACTAAGGACAATCCCTCAGCATTTCTGGAGGAGCTTCTGTATGTCTCGGTTTACAAAGATACTCAGATTTGTCACCAGTGATATCTCTAGTCACTCTCTCTTCCTTTTTCAATTCAGTTGCAAGGTAACTGTCCTTACAGCTTTCTTTCGTCCCATCCGAGGAAGTGAGATGCAATGGTAGAGTGGAAATTGTTGTGAATGGCATATTGGAATTCTTGGAATGTTGGTATCCAGAAGTGGAAGCTCACTGCATATAAAAGCCGTATTCAAGGCCACATCACTCCTACGACCAGATGGCAATGTTCAGATACTGATGTGTGTTTGGGGCTGTGCACATGTGTGCTTGTGCTCGGGCGTGCATGCCTTGCTAGGAGCTGGGCAAATTGCTGTTTGTGTTAAGACCTTCCTTTTCACTTTGAATCCAATGCTATTTTCTAGTGAAGTCAGGGTTAGGGATTACCTGTTGTATTTTTTATTTTAATTCCGTTGCATAAGGGATCTTTTGTGGGGGGTTTTTTGGTCAAGATGATAGGGATAGGTTCTAGAAAAGAGTGGTTGGGGAAGAGACAGGAGTCGGAGATAAGCTTTCATCTGAGACTATTCTGTTTTCTAGCTGAAGCGGTAAAAAATCGGATGTTGAAGTGCCTCATTCCAGCAACTCTGATACCTGAAAGTGCTGTGGTTAGAGCTTTCTCCAGGCTCTGTGCTAGCAATTGTTCTAATAACACAAAGGTAATCACCTAAATATTTTTAATGATGTGTCCATGAGAGACATTTTCAGGATAGTAGCAGTGGCTGCTTCTGCAAAAGACCTTGGTCTGGGCACAATTCAACCTGATACAAGAACTTGGCTGAAAGAATTTGGAGTGAGAAATGCAATTATTTCTTTGCCTGTTAGAATGTTAGAGAAAGTCAAGTGATTAAACAGTCTCTGGGAAGGGAGCTAAGCTTCTGTGCTTTAGTCATGTTTACCTAAAGGTCAATGTTCTGTCTCTTGGTGTAGGTACTCTTTTGTCGATGGTTGATTGCAATGTTTGACTTCATTGATGGTAAGGAGGACATGAACTCTCTCTATGGCTTCTTTTTTTCCTTTCTGCAAGAGGAAACTATGGTAAGTAAAAATGAGATAAAGGAATTGGCATTCCATACTTGTTGCATTTGTATATACTGCCCAGTAACACGTTGGGGGGGGTTCTTTTAGCTATTTTTAAAAATTCTGAACTTAACAAATATCACATAAAATGAGTATTTCCATATACCTGGAACATGAAGAGAGAATTATACACGCAAGTGCAACTCTTATATTTAGCTTGTTTTCCTTTTATGTATAGAATAAGTTCTACTTGTAGCTTTCAGAGATGGTTTGCTTGTCAGCTTTTTTCTGGCTTTCCTTCTATTCTCTAGTCTGCATTTTTATTTTTTTTGGCCTGTATTTTTTTTTTTAAATGCCTTAGTAACATTCTTGTCTTTATTGTCTTTTTATTTCTCTCAAATTTTTTTTTTTGGTCTATCTTAGGGCTATCCCTTTTCACCATCCCACCGCCCCATTGGTAAAAAAGAAAAGGAAAAGCCTCTGTAAACAATATACATAATCAGGGGAGACAAATTCTCACATTGTCTGTATCTGAAAATTTTATATCTTACTCTGCATATTGAGTTTCTAACCCCTTTGTGAAGAAGTGGGTAGCCTGCTTCATCATTAATCTTTTGGAATTGTAGTTGGTCATTGCATTAATCAGAGTTACTGAGTTTTTCAGAGTTGTTTCTGTTACTGTATAAATTCTTCTGGTTCTGCTCACTTTACTCTACATCAGTTCATATGGATCTTCACAGGTTTCTCTGTAACTGTCCACTTCCATGTTTCTTAGGCGTAATAATACTCTATTGCATTCATATACCAGAATTTGTTCTAGCCATTTCCAGTAGGTGCTCACCTCTGAGTTTGTAGTGCTTTTGACAGTAGAAAAACAGCTACTATAAATAATTTGGACATATGGATCCCTTCCTTCTTTATTTTCTCTCTTTTGTGTAGCGGCCTAGTATTGATGTAGCTGGGTCAAAGCGTATGCAAAGCTTAGTAATTTGTGGGGCATAGTTCTTTATTGCTTTCCAGAATGCCTAAACCAGTTCACAGCTCCATCCACAGTGCTTTGGTGTGCCTGGTTTCCTAAAGCCACGCCAGAATTTGTCATTTTCCTTTTTTTGGTCATTGTTGGCAATCAGATGGGTGTGAGGTAGAACCTCAGCATTGCTTTAATTTGCATTTCTCTAACTGTTAAAGATTGGAGCATTTTTTCACATTGCTGTAGATTGCTTGGATTTACTCCCTTGAGAACTGCCTATTCCTATGATTTCACCTTTTATCAACTGGGGAATAGTGGGTTTTTATAAATTTGAGCCTATTCCTTATATATCTTGGAAATTAAACTTTGATCACAGGAATTTGTTGGGAAGATTTCCCCCAGTCACCTGTTTTCCTTCTGATTTGAACTGCATTGGCTTTGTGTGAAAACTTTTTAATTTTATGTAATCAAAATTGTCCATTTTATCTTCTGTGATCTTTTTAATCCTTTTGGGCATAAATTCTTCCCCTATCCATATACCCCAAAGATAATTTCTTCTTTGTTCCTCTGATGTTTATGATGTGAACTTTTGTTCCCATGTATCCATTCATGCAGCCATTTGGAGTTTACATATGATGTGAGGCTTTGGCTAACCCTAATGTCTTCCCAATCACTTTATAGTTTTCCCAGCAGCTTTTGTCAGATTTTAAGTCTTTACCCTAGTATCTGGGATTTTTGGTTTTATCAAACACTGTGCTATTATGCAGGTTTGCTTCTGTATGTTGTATAACTGATCTGTTCCACTGATTGACCTCTCAATTTTAGTACTAAATTGTTTTGATGGTTACTGCTTTGTAGCATGCTTTGAGATCTAGTACCCATCTTTCCCTCCTTTTTTTCTTTTCTTCTTCTTCATAGTTTTCTCGTCTTTGTCTTCATCTTCTTCGTCTTTGTCTTCTTCATCTTCGTCTTCTTTTTTGTCTTTTTCATCTTCTTGTCTTCTTCATCTTTGTCTTCGTCGTCGTCTTCGTCATGTGCGTCGTTGTCTTCGTCTTCATCTTTTTCGTCTTCGTCTTCTTCGTCGTCGTGTTTGTCGTCTTCATCTTTTTCGTCTTCTTCGTCTTCATCTTCTTTTTCGTCTTCGTCTTCATCTTCTGTCTTCTTCGTCTTCTTCGTCTTTGTCTTCGTCTTCTTCGTCTTTGTCTTTTTCGTCTTCTTAGTCTTTTTCGTCGTCTTTGTCTTCTTCGTTGTCATCTTTGTCTTCTTTTTCGTCTTCTTAGTCTTCTTTTTCATGTTCGTCGTCGTCTTTGTCTTCTTTATCTTCTTTTTCGTCTTCTTCATCTTCTTTGTCTTCTTTGGCTTCGTCTTCTTCGTCTTTTTTGTCTTCGTCTTCTTTTTCACCTTCTTTGTCTTTTTCGTCTTTTTCGTCTTTGTCTTCATCTTCTTCATCTTCGTTTTCTTTATCGTCTTCTTTGTTATCTTCGTCTTCGTCTTTGTTGTCTTCTTCATCTTTTTCGTCTTCTTCGTCTTCTTTGCTTCATCTTCGTCTTTTTCGTCTTCGTCTTCTTGTTTGCCTTCTTTGTCTTTTTCATCTTCTTCGTCTGTCTTCTTCGTCTTCTTCGTCTTCGTCTTCATCTTCTTCATCTTTGTCTTCGTCTTCGTTGTCTTCGTCATCTTCGTCTTCGTCGTCTTCTTCGTCTTCGTCTTCTTCATCTTCTTTTTAGTCTTCTTTCTCATCTTCTTCGTCTTTGTCTTTGTCGTCTTCTTCATCTTCTTCTTCTTCTTCTTGGGTGAAGTGACTTGCCCAGAGCCCCACAGCTGGTAAGTGTCTGAGGCCAGATTTGATCTAAGGAAGATGAGTTTTCCCAACTCCAGGCCTGGTATTCCGTGCACTATGGCGCCAGCTAGCTGCCCTTGGTAGATAGATCCTCCAACTATTTTATGCCTTAATCTATATGTAATTATAATTGAAATAATTCTGTTATTTTCAGTGGAATTTCTCTTTATTCTCTTCTGGGTTTTTGTTCGTAATATACAGAAATGCCAATAATTTATATAGGTTTACTTCATATTCTGCAACTTTGCTGAATTTATTGTTTCAGTTAAATTTTTAGTTGACTCTTTAGGGTTCTCAAGATAGACCTGAATCATATCATCTGCAGAAAGTGATATTCTTGTTTCCTCTTTGCCTGTGTTTATTCCCCCTTTTAGCTAGCATTTCTGGCTATTTTAAATCGTACTGATGATAATGAGCAGTATGGATGAGAATAAGTTCATATTTACTTTACCACCCATCTGATTGGAAAGGCCTCTAACATCTTTTCCACATGATGATAATCTGTTTCTGCTCAGTTGTCCCTCTTCCCAACCACAAGTTTTTAAACTTTCTTTTTTCTTTTCATTCTTCTCTTCACATTTTGCCCTCCACTGTCAAAGACACTTGAAGTTTTGAGCTGAGTATATGTTGGAGACTGATGATCCTGTTGACAAAGATGTGGAAGCCAGGAGAGAGAAATCCTTTTGGAAGTCTGATGAGATTTCATTTGAGGTGACTGGAGTACAGCCATATCGCATTGAGATCTTCTTCTAGGGTTTTTGCTGTCAGTATGTCACTGTCCAGCTATTCCTGCATATCTACTCTTTTGACTAGAGCATTGATTCTATGTGTAGGCCACTCAGCTTGGATTATGGAGCATGTCCTTTGAGCATTCATCAGTTGGGGAATGACTAGCAGTCTTTTTCTGCAGCCCTGGACTGGCTAGAGGAATTTACAGCTGATTCTCTTTGGTTTTCTTTATTGTCACTTTTTCTGGTGAATTTTGAGAGCTTTAACCGGCATGTCTGCTAGGAATTTGGGCTCCTCTAGGTCCTAACATGCTGCTGGTGCTATCATACAATCTCTGCATGTGACTACCAGCTACAAGTGTGTTTTGAGATGCATGTTGTTCCTAGTACATGTCATCCACATTAGAATTACATTCAGCAAGCATGATGGTACGGTGGAGAGAGTGTGAACTTGGAGGCAGGAATACCTGAGTTCCAAGCCAGCTTCAACATTTACTAGCTGTGTGACTCCGGGCACATCTCTTAATTTCTCTGTGCCTCAGTGTCCTCATCCGTAAAATGTTATTATACTGTAGTACCTACTTCCCAGGGTTGTTGTGAGCAATCAGATGAGTTAACATATGTAAAGTACTTTGCAAACTTCAAAGCGTTGTTATATCAATGCTCACTATTACTATTATTAAATATGAGTACATGTAAAAATAGAATATGTAATTATGTGCTATAGACCAAGTAATAGTCTTATGTGATACATAATACCTAGCATCCCAAAGCGCAGGTATGGGTAGTAATCACATACGGAGAGCAGCACATGAAAGGTCCTGGAAAGCCCAGTCTGTTTCCTTGCTATCTTTGTAGTCTCAAATCCTAGTACATAGAAGGTGCTTAAATAATGCATGATTGATTGTGCCGGGCTGTATCTGGTAGCCGGATATGTAAGTCACATGTATAAACATGCAGAAGCATAATACATGCTCATCTTTAAAATGGAGATAATAATGCCTATAGCACCTCTCGCAAGTATACATAATAGAGTAGAAAATGCTTGTAATTCCAGACTTCACTGCAGGCCTAGTCCCTGCTCGCACGGATAGCACTGGCACTTCCCAGTGCCAGTGCTATGTTACGTTAGTGACCTAACGTAAGCTCCGCACCGGTTGGTCTGCTCTTCTAGTGCTGAGTTTTCAGGCCAGCAGTTCTAAAAATGTTGTCCAGGCCCTCTGGGGGGTCCCTAGCACCCTTTCAGCAGGTCAAAACTACTTTATAATTAGTACTAAGATGTTTTAAATACAGATAAAATCCACATAAACAAAAGCTCTTTAAGGGAATCCTCAGTAGTTTTTAAAAGTGTAAAGAAGTCCTAAGGTCAAAAAGTTAGAGAACCACTGGTCCTGGCTAATTCTCCACATTATTAGCGCTCATTGAGCAGCTAGATGATTCAGTGGATAGAGCACTAGACCTGGAATCAGGAAGGCCTGAGCTC